GTCAAACAAATAGTATTCGGTATGATTTTTTTTTTTTTTTTGGCAATTGGAACAAATTCTAGACCCTAATGGTAGAGAATATTATCACTTTAATGGACAATTTTCATAAAAAACGAAGTCAAACGGACACCAAACTTTCAACATTTTCCATGAAAAATTATACCAATCAAACACAATTCATTACAAGTAAAACAATTTATAGGCAAATCAATTCCTTATAAAACATTTTCCTTCCACCAATTTTTCACATTTGCAATCAAACGAATCCTTAGTGAAAAGTACAATAACACAAGTCATTAGTTAATACAAAATTTGGATTTGTACACGTTTGTGTCCGAAAAAAGTGAGTCATATTAAGCCAATTTTCATTATTTTCAAAATATATTTTTCTCCCTCTTATTTTTGATCACATATTTTTCAATGAAATAATATTACACGCTAATTTAAATTTTTTTTCTTATTTTTTAACTACTGATTATCTATCAAAATACTAAAATGCATTTTGTTGAGAAATAATTTTACACGTAAATTAATTTTTTTTCTACTTTCATAACCATAAATTCTTTAAAAAAAATAAAAAATCGTGATTACAAAATTTACTTTCTAACAACAGAACCTAAATTTGAAAAGTCCTCGGACTTTGATACGTGTTGACACTTAGTCCCCATTCTTCCAAATGGACATTTAAATCTTTAATCTTTCATTTTAGGCCCTATTCGATAGTATTTCTTTTCCATTGAACTAGAAATTGGTTTTTCATTCTTCACATTTTTGCTTATTTTATAGGAAAATTTTTCTTGGCAAATGGTTTTCCACCCAACCCCCTTTTTGGTCATTTTTCTTGGTGTTTGGGAAAAGTTTTTCTAGGCAACTTTTTTCTTTTTTTTACAATGTAAACAAATTTTATCCCCAATTGAAACAAATTTTATCTCTTTAATGAAGAATTTTCATGGAAAATAAAGTCAAACGAATATCAAAAGATCCAAAATTTCAATATTTTTCAAATGAAAAATATACCAATCAAACACAATTAATTGACAATTCCCAATAAAACAAGTTCTAGGCAATTCAATTTCCTGAAATTCATTTTATTTCCACCCAAATTTCTTGCAATCAAATGGGTCCTTAGTAGCACTTAGATTCTTACCTTACCTGGCTAAAATTTTAAAATGCCAAGTTTACACCAATTTTCAAAAGATAATTTAATCAATGTTTACTGAATTTTGTTATTGGTTACTATTTACTCACCGATATTTAAAAAATTACTTTTTACTTACCGAACTTTGCTATAAATTACTAATTATTCACCGAAATTTAAAAAATTACTTGTTACTCATTGAATTTTTTCATATGTAAACACTGATGGAAATGATATGGGTCATTGATGGGTAACATTGTTTAAATTTGGGTGAGTAACGGCTACTTTTAAAATTTTGATAAACAAGTAGTAATGTAAAGCAAAGTTTAATGAGTAAATATTAACTTTTTAAATTTTGATAAGCAAACAGTAATAATGACCATTAATTATGTCATTGTTTGTCTTCCATTTTTTAAAACTCTTTTTTCTACGTACTCATTTCAACCACACATTTGCACAATTAAATATTTTATAAGTAAATCCAAAACTTTAATCTATTTTTCAAACACATATTGTCCAAAAAAATAACTATTTTCTTTCTTTCTTTCCTTTCTTTCCGTTTTTTTTTTTTTTTTTT